TTTTAAATTACATAGCTCTTTACACAAGGATTTGAAGATATGAGGTGTCAGAAGCAAGAGTTAACAGTAAATCAGGTGTGCTAGACCATTGTGTCCTGCTCTCAGAGGGAACTATTTTTTGAAAATCAGTCTTGCAAGTCACAAAATATCCACCAGCAGCTGGAAGGGTGACTGGGTTGAGGGAACAGAAGGCTTCACTGACCCTGGCTACTTGGTACCACCTCAAGGTGATGCTCCTTCAAAAGGGAGGGGGAAAATGGCAGAGAAGAAAGGGGGTGGAGAATAAAGTAGAAAAAGAAGAAACAAGTTTAAAATCAGTTTTTATTGTTCCTCTAATCATATAATAAATGTACAATTCAAAAAAGCTGAGACAATTAAGAAAAAAGAAAACAAAGTTGACTTACAGTCTGACAACTTGGTTAAAATTGTTAAGTATAAGAATCTAGGCACAGTGGCTCATGTCTATAATCCCAGCAAATCAGGAAGCTGAAGTAGGAGGATCATAAATTAGAGGCCAGCCCCAGCAACTCAGTGAGGACCTAAGCAACATAGCAAGACTCTGTCTCAAAAAAAAAAAAAAAAAAAATGCTGGGATGTGGTTCAGTGGTTAAGCGCTCCTGGGTTCAATCCCTGGTACCCAAATAAAAGGAGAGGAAAAAATAAATAAATTTTGTGTATGTGCTTCCTGCATATTTTTACTATGAAAAATTTAAAATACAGATAAGTTTTAAAGTTATGGAGCTATAAATGTAGAAACACTATCACACACCCATAAATAAATATAATACTCATTCATTGTTAATTTTTTTCTTAACTTATGGTGAAAATCCATATAAATAAATAAATATCATCATTTTCACAACTATGTAGTATTCTAATACAATTTATACATCAAAGCCTATAGTAATGAACTTGTTTCAATGTTTCACTAGGATAAATAATATTCTCATTATTCCCATTGTGGTTTCATCTTTGCAAATTTATTGCATTCTTTCCCAGAAGTAGAACTGATGGGTAAAGGTACATACTTTGTTACAGTGTTTTCACAAATATTATTAAATTGCCCTACAGAAATGTACCAATTCATACTCAACTGCTAGGGTATAGGCATCCATCTCCCCACATCCTTTTGTCATCAGCCAATTAGTCAGTTGAAGCATACTATATCTTTACATAGTTTTGGAAACAAGTGAATCCTTCAGCTATTATATCCATCAGCTATTCAGAGATGCATTTCCTTTGCACATGTTTTTCACTTGGAGCACTAATTTTTGTTTTCTTCACTTGTAAGAACTCTATATCAAAGGTTCTTAGGTTTACCATGTGTTGCTGTTGAGTTGACACTTGAGATTAAAACTAAAATGATAAGATAAAACTCATACAATTTAAAATAAGAAAAATATTACTTTGAAAGCAAGAGAATAGGAAATTCAGCTGAGACAAAATAAGAAAGCCAGAACAGAAGGAAGAAATTTGGGGTGGTAGTACATGCCTGTGATTCCAAGTACTCAGGATGCTGAGACAGGAGTATTACAAGTTTGAGGGCAGCATGAGCTTCTTAGTGAGACCATCTCAAAATAAAAATTTTAAAAGGCCAGGAAAATACCTCAGTGGTAGAGGCCTGGGGCTAGATCCCCAGCACTACACACACACACAAAAAAAAAAAAAATTAAAGAAGTAGAAAAAATAACCAATAACAATCAAATGAAAGAGAAATGACTACATTGTATAACAGAAACTTCCCATAAGAAAACAAAACTGAGGCTTTTAAAGGACAACATGACTTGCCTTGGGTAGGCCAGGGACAGTGTCTYAGTTCTCTGTGGAGACCTGCAGAGTAGATCAAAATGGGCAATAGGACCCAAATCTTTTGCAGTGCTTTATACACTTATTCAGACCATTAACAAATCCTCCCAAGGAGGCCAAATCCACTTAAGGCTACACTTAGGAATAGCAGCAGATAAAAAGGAAGGTAAGAAGAGGATTACAAAACAGAGAAGGAAGTCTCCGTGGGAGCTGATTAATCTGTCATTTTAATCATATTGTCTTTCTTTTTGTTCACTAATTAGATCAAGAAGCTATTAGAGTTGCAGATGCTAAAAAAGTAACCCTTCTTGAAGAAATTATAAACAACCAAACAACTTACCATCTACTCCAGATATCTTGAAGGGATGGATTGAACTGAGCATGAAACTCCAAGGTCTCTATCTAGGAGTGATTTTTCTTAGAGTATATGAAAGCGTACCTATAAAATGAAGAAAGGTGTGCATCAAATGCTTCGATGTCCATTTAGTTTTCACAGGAAGAAYGCAAGATAATTTTGTTATTTCCCCCATTTTATGTATGTGGACATGAAAGTTCAGAAAGGAGAAATGATCTGCCTCATCAATGTGCCCTGTGGGGCTGAAATCAGAGAGAACTCTGAACCAGTGTTGTTCAATAAAAATATAATGCAAATCACATGTTATTTTGAATGCTATTCCAGCTACATTTAAAAAGCAAAAGAAGGGCAGGGAGTGCAGCTCTATGTTAGACCAGTAGCTGAGCATGAGCAAGGCCCTGAGTTTGATCCGCAGAACCACAAAACAAGTAAAGAAGAAGAGGAAGAGGAGGAGGAGGAGAAGAAACAGGTGAAATTTAATTTATTTATTAAATATATTACACATATTAGACATGAAACTTTAATATATTTTATTTAGCATAATATATATAACTCTTATAACAAACATGAAGTCAATATAAAAATATTTTACTTTCCATTTTTTCCATGCTAAATCTTTGAAATTGAATGTTTTATATTTACAGCATATTTCAACTTATATGAGCCAATTTTTGAGTACTGAAGTATATTTTATGAACATAACAACCACTGTACCTAGTGGCTACTGCACTGGAGAGCCTAGTTCTTTATCAGTGGTTCTCAAGGTGTGGTACCCAGAACACCACCAGCAGCAACACCACCTGGCAACTTGTTTGAAGTGCAAATCATTCAGCCACATCTCAAATCTACTAAATCAAAACCTCTGGCAGTGTGGTTCAGCAGCCTGTGTTTTAACAGCCTCTTCAGGCAATTTTAATGCTCAATTTTGACAACCATTATTGTAGGTAACAGTCTCTCCATTCTAATCTAAATAAACCTAGGACAACCATGGTAGGCTATCCCTTCTCTTGAGATAAGCATTTTTTTTTTTTTTGTGGTACCAGGGATTGAACTCAGTGGCACTTGACCACTGAGCTACATCCCCAGCTCTATTTTATATTTTATTTAGACAGGGTCACAGTGGTTGCTTAGTGCCTCACCATTGCTGAGGCTGACTTTGAACTCATGATTCTCCTGTCTTAGCCTCCCTAGCTGCTAGGATTACAGGGGTGTGCCACTGCGCCTGGCCAAGATAGGCAATTCTTGAATAGTTGAAGTTGGCATTCTCTTATATGGAAATATACCAGTCCTAGCTATGATTCCATTTCATGTGACTATGGAATGAATTACCAGATGCTCAATTTAAATGTACTTTGATTTACCATTTTGCTTGAGGAGAAAGGGGAGAAAGTCCCCAGTAATCACATACATTATTATATTGAATTAATTACTAAACTCCTAATTTTCTTAGTTTCATCATCTACAAAATGGAGATAATTTAATAAATATTTGCACTTTTTTTTCAAAGAAAGTGCTGTGTACAGAAGGAAAAAAGTTTGCAAAAGTGACTGATGTTTTTAAGCTACAGTAAAAAATAGTGGGCAGGAAAGGTAATATTATGGATTTTGAATTTAGAAGCTAAGGCTGATTCACTCATATTTCTTAGAACATTAACATAAGATTTGCTGAGAGTGAAGGGTAGGGTTTTTGCCAGAATCATTAAGGAGAATGATTCTGAGCATGCCTTGAAGTAGAGCTTTCAGTAAACAGGAATTACCTATAAAGAAAATCAGGAAGCCAAAGTGTTTCTTTTTATGAAGTTACATCCTGCCATAGAAAAGCTGGATAGGAAATAAAGACTGATGTACTTCTAACTGTAAACTAAACCAGCAATTATTTCATCAAGGAAAATCTGAGCAAAAGCTCAGACTCGTTCATATATATGGCGGGGAGGATGAATATGGGGGGATAAGGGGTTTGAAAGTCATAAGAAACCAATGACAACCAATGGCTACAATTACACGTGATTTTGAGGGAAAATGTACAAGGAAACCACTACCACTACTCTGTGATTTGGGGTTCCTTACTGGCTGCCTGGACCTCTCATTTCAGTAATTTTTCCTCCAGATATTTGTTCAAAGAGAAATATATATGCGTGCTCAGGAAAGTAGGAGACTGATGAAATAATATTAATTTCAAATTCTCTTTCTCCTGGTTATTCGTTGGACGGTTCCAGGGTTCTTTTTAGTTTTTCCAAGGTTCTGTGATAGGGTTCTACTTTTCTCCGCACTTTAATTTTTTTTTTTTTAATTTTAGTTTCACTAGAGGATACACTGCTATTACCACTCTCTAACCCTTTCCATCTTATCCTACCACCCTCAAATAAAAAAGGCAAAATATCCCTTTATGAGGCAGGATCCCATGGTTTGGGGGGAATGGCAAGTACCAATTCTTAGTAGTGGCTGCAACCTACCGCAAAAGAGAAACTGCAGCTTATGCTCTCCCTTCTTTCTCCTGCCCTATCCCACCAACTCACAACTCCGCACAATCCTTAACACACACACACACACACACACACACACACACACACACACACACATCCTCCTCCAGCCTCGCATCCTCTCGCACACCCTACACTGCACGCACGCCAGGATGCCCGCTGCCACAGTAACGCTCAACCCACTCGGCGGCACCACCCATGGCCGTTCCGCCCCCGTCCCACACACCAATGGTTGAGGCCCGCAGCTCCCAAGGGGCCCTTTGATAGGGCAGAGCGACTTGCCACTCTCAGGTCATGCCCCGCCCCCTCCTCGCTCCCCTCGGGAGCTGGAGGGGCCCGAGCATCAGCGAGAGTAGCTGCAAGCAGCCGCGGCGGCGGCGGCGCGTCGTTGCAGTTGCGCCATCTGTCAGGAGCGGAGCCGGCGGGGAGGGGGCTGCCGCGGGAGAGGAGGAGGGGTCGCCGCGAGCCCGAGGCCGCCGAGACCCGCCCGCCGGTCGGCCGCGAGAGCAGAGGCAAGGCTGCGCTCCGAGCCCGGCGTCCTCCGCTGTCCGGGCGCGCGGCGCTTCTCCCCGTGCACCGAGCACTCTCCGGGCGCACACAAAGCCGCGGCTCACGCCAGGGAGGGATCCGGCGGCCAGGCCGGGGACACCCCGGCGCCGCCCCCTCGGAGATCTCGGAGGGCCCACCGGCTCCCGGGTCCGCAGCGGAGCTACTGGACCCGCCTCGGCCGCGCCGAAGGAGGGCGGGGAGTGGACCATGTGAATGGGCTTCGGAGCCTGAGCGCCGCACAGGTAAGCTGCCGGGATGCGCCTCTGGAGGCCGCGGGGATGCTGCGGAGACGCCCGGCCGCCCGCGCCCCCGCACAGGGCGGCCCCCGAGGCTGGGGCCCCGCGCTGCAGTCCCTCGGCCACTGCCGCCTCTGGGGCACCGCGCGGGGCTGCGGGAGAGTTGGCAGCACTAGGGGTCTTCCCGAGGCCCTGTCGCAGGACACCTTTGTGGGGTGCGGTCCCGAGGTAGCGCAGGGATGGGGGCTCATTTCTTCGCTTGTGAGCCGGCGCCGGGTGGGAATCGGAATTGGCTTGGGGGCGAGGCTGGCCCAGACTCCGCCCCCGCCCTCCTTTTGGGGCCCCCCGTGGGGACCAGGGCTGTGTGTGTTGTTTTAATGTCAAGGATGATGTAATCACTTAATAATTGATGCCCCGTGCTGCTTCCCTCCCCACCCAACCCCTGCCCCACTCCTCCACCTCTGGGCCTCCTCCCTCGGCGGCCGTCGCCTTCCCCAGCGCATCCTACTGCCTATTTCTGGCACCTCCCTTGCACTTCCCCCATCCACCCCTTCACTCTTCCTGTGCCACCACCCACCCACCCTTCCCCTTTCCCCTGTGTCGGAGCCTTCCCTCCTCTTCCTCTGTCCCCCACCCCTGCTGCTCTCTCTAGCCCCTTTCTCCTCCCTTCCCTGCTCACTCGCTGAATTTCCTCTCCACTTCCCTAGATCGATGGTTGTTTTTGTTTGGTCTCCTCCCCTCTCTTATCTCTGCGGCTACAGGCAGAGGGGGTCTGGGCCAGAAGAGGCCACCGAGCTTGGGCCCAGGCGGTATTTGCTGGGACACTTAGGGAAGAGACATAATCAAATCACCCTTCTAGCCTCTCCTTCCCCCAATAAATCACAGAGACTCGCCCGTGTGTGTGTGTGTGTGTGTGTGTGTGTGTGTGTGTGTGTGTAACACACAAAGAGCCCTTTCAGTGCATAGCAGGAGACACACAAAGTACCCAAGGATCATCGGCTCCATGCTTCTTGTTTCTTTTCCCTAGGGCTTCCCTTTCTTTCCTAGGAAGCAGTTGATCTTCTCTCAGAGTCTTTCCTGTCACATTTACCAAAAAAAGAAAGGCCCCCTAGATGCCGGGTGGCAGGTGGCAGCATTTTGCTGTGTTCATAGACCAGTAGTGTAGACTGTCAGCTGCTATGTGTCTTAGATTTAAGGGGAAATTATCCCAGCTGTTTTGAGAGTTTACTTTTAAGATAACCTCCCCACTCCCTCATTTTACCCCTTCTCTTTTTGAGGATAGTTATAAGAGTTGGGATAGGGTAAATTGGTGTAGGATCAGAAGAATTTTGTTTCTGAATTAGAATTAAATTGGTGTTTGACAAGAGTGAGGAAACCTGACTTGTTTCTTCTATCTAGTCTAAGGCCTCTTTGCTGGAGTCTTTTGAAATGAAATCTGGTCTGCCCAATGATGCTGTTTCACTCTTTTATTCAACTAAGTAACTGAGGACCTGCATTGAATTGGCACTTGCAAGACCATGGAAACTGTCTTGCTTGCTTCATGGTAGCCTTCAGATGCCCACACTCTTCCTCTTACCACCCACGCAACTAAAATAATTTTCATTCTTTGTCCGGTCTTTCTCCCCAGTCCCTACCCCATGGGCACTGTGTTTTCAATTGAAGAAACTCACAGTCTTTTAGAGGAAGTAGTTTAACTATCTGAGGCTTTGGGGCACTTAGCTCTGAACAGAAGATTTAGAATGCTGAACCTTGGACTATCTGATGTACCTCTTAAAGTAGAAGTGTTAATGAAAAATTTGGGCTTAATGTTCTGTTTTGTAAACAGGTGGCATGTGCTTAATCAATAATGTCAAAACTTTCGTTGGGCCTGTTGATTGATTCCTAAGATCAGGACTATAGCAAGTAACAAAATAGTTTGAAGTTTGTTCTTCAAGAACAGAATTATTATGATTCATTAAATATTTTGCTTCTGTGCTTTCTAAGGACATTTATGGTGGAACTTTTTACATTAAAAAAAGCAATAGAGTTAATGAGAGTACTGTAAAAACAAAGACTTGTTTGTTGGATGCCAGACCCAGAAAGAAAAGTCAGTGCATAATAAACTCACACTCTGTTGACCAAGTTAGAGACTTAATGATAAGGTTGACTGTGAACAAATGCACACTCTACTTTCCTCTCAGGTTGGAGTCTTAGGTTGGAGTCTCCAACCTAATCTGACTTGCTAAAAATTCTCTTTAACCTTTKGAGTCTGTCACAAATGTCATCTTTCCTCTGAAGACTTCATTAACTCTTYTTTGAGCCATGTTGTTTTCAAATATTAGCAGCAGGCATTATGTTTGTCATGCTGTTTCTACCATTAATTTGGTCAGTACCTTGAGAAAAGGAGCCTAATCTCATTTGTCTCATTTCCTACCAAGTATTACATTAGTAGGTAATCAGTGGTTCATTTAACAATCAACAAATATGAGTTAGATCATTGGTATGGACACCTGTTTTAATTAGGATAATGTTAGCAGCTRTAACAAATAGGCCTGCAAACATATAATCGTTCAAAAGCAATGCACATTTATTCTTGCCTATGTAATAGTCCAAAATGGGTGTTTCTGGTCATTGGGTGGCTTTCTTCCATTTGGCAATTCTGAGTCCCTTGCCCCTATCTTGTAGCTGCACAATTACATGGCTTTTCTTTGTAGCCTGTTTTAGCTGACTGGGCAAAAGACAGAATGAAGAGATGTATCCACTTGTAAAATGTCTTGGCCTACAAATGACCCACATCACTTCTACAAACATGAGGGCTATGTATATGGCTAAATTTAATTGCAAGGGGCCCYGAGAAATGTAGGTAAGCCATGTGTCCAGAAAAAAAGGACAAGAAATGTATTTTTAATGAACAGCTCTGCCAAACACTCCCATTTAACAAGGTATATCCACTACCCTCAAGAAGCTTGTTGGCTGATGGTAATTAAATTAAATGGAAATCTAAGAGCCGACACCCAACCTTGCTTTTGTTCTTTAGATTTTGTAAGTTCAGTTATTTTCATCTTAATCATATTTCAGAAACCTTGCTTTTTGTCATGTTTTAAGGGGCCACTTCTCACTCAGTAATCTCTTATCATATAGCCCATCTGTCACTTCCTGTGTTGACTTTGATGTGGTGGTTTTTACTCCAGAAGCACCTTCCTTGGCCTCCATCTTTGTCTGGTGATTTTATAGACTTCCATAGTGGCTAGTGGGATCCTTGGAAATCACATATCCTTAAGAGGAAATGAAGCAGAATAGGAAAGGTAAAACTCATTGCCCCAGGGCCATGCTGATGGTGGAACTCAGGGCTTTGTGCATTCTAGGCAACTGCTCTACCACTGGGACATGGAAGTTTCTAAAGAGAAGGCCAGATGCCCAGCCAGCTCAGCTCTTCAGCTCTACCTGGGCCCCTTCATCAGCAGCTGTCTGTCCTGTGCATTTCTTGGAAGTTTTGAGCTTTCAGACCTCCAGGAACAGGGGAACCTGCTAGTGTTCTGGATAGTCCCTGTACTCCACAAGTCTCCAAACTATTGCAGCAGTTCTGAATTCTGCCCATGCCTGTGATCATAATTAATAATGCTCTTTCTTTCTGTTTTTGGCTGTGAACACTTTGCTTTATTCATCAGTTCTGCAAACATCAGCCTAGTATGTTATTTTGTGTAAGACATTGGGGGACATGGGGCTGTAGAAATGAATATTCCTGCTGTCCTTGCTCTTCAGAAGCTCAATGTGTACTAGAAGAGATAATAATAATAATAATAATAATAATAATAAGCTAACATTGATAATTTACTGTGTGTCATGTACTGTTTAAGCTCAAATCTTAACAATAATGATATGAAGTGGTTTCACTTATAATTACCATTTTACGAATGGGCAAGTTTCAGTAACTTACTAGTAACTAACCCAAAAGATCATGTAGCTACTAAGTGCTAGAGTCGAAATCAGGCTCAATTAGTTTGGTTCCAAAGCCCTTCCACTAAGTCACTAKGCAGTTCAAAATACTTCATATGTTTATAGTCATGATAGGAAYTAAGACATTTTTCACAAGGGAGGTGGGTGGTTAGCATACTTTGGAAATTGAGACTTCTGGTTGATAGAAAACAGAACTTTATATCTAATAAAGTATCCATCCCTACCTTCCTTTCTTCTATTTAGACCCTCATCTGTTATTCATCTGGGAAACAAAAAATAAAATTTGAAAATGCAAAATCAAAGTATGTTGGTTGATACTGGAAGTAGTTTCACTCTCTGTGCTTCTTTATTTTAAGCTAGGTCCTTCTGCACAGGTCCTTCTATATAGATAGGTCTGTATGAATTGGTGAATTGTCTGCATTTACAATTTTCCAGACATTGAACTAGTGCTTGGGAGCAAAAGGTGTGTGGGGGGGTGGTGATCCTGCCCCAAGGAACTTACCTACTGGCTCAACTGAGAAAGGAGGAAGCCTCTGACAATATTATACATGCTGATTCTAGGGGTACATACACAGGACACAGAGAGTATGCACAGCAAAGAGGTGGGGCGACCAGACAGTAAAGACTGGAGGAAGAGGTATCTGGGAGTAGGAGTTGGTTAGTTAAATGTGGGAAGGCCACTGCTCCAGAAAGAACAACCCAGAAGGTGAAGGCAGAGACYTTTTGGGATGCTGCAGTTAGTTCACGACCCAATGGGGTGGTAGAGAGATGGAAAAAGGAATAATACAGGGCTGGAGAAGAAATTGAGAAGATTCTAATAAGTACTTATAAGTGTTACTCAAGAATTATAAGTGGAGACGTGACTTTGACCTATTTTGGATTTTAAAATTATCACCTGGCCATAGTGTGTGGGCCTTTGGTCCGAGCCAGGCCGACTGATTCAGGGAGGATAGTTACTAGAAACTCAGATGAACTATAGGTGAGGGTCAAAATGGAAGGGATGAAGTGGGGATAGGGTGAGAAAGAGTGATATGGAGGTGCATAGAAAAGGGGTCTTTGGGAAATGAGGT